CCCTGTCAAGGACAAAGCTAACCAGCAAAACTTGATATCAAAAGCATCCTAAATGTTACATGTGTTGTAGTGAGTAAACCTTCTTGTTATTGCTGTTTCAAATATCCCACCATAATCTGTAGTCTGAGCCTGTCAAGGGCTAATGGCAATGGCAGATACGTTACTAGTTAGTTAATTTTTTTGTTTGCCAAATAACCCTGTGTATGTGTCTGCCCCCGCAACCCCCAACTCCCGGAAAAAAGTTCAGGCTCAGGATTTTTTTTGCTTTAACCCCTGTGTATTGTTGTTGTTGTTATTATTATCATATTGTATTTCCATTTCCACAATTTTGTATCAAGTAAATATTGCTGTTGCAGTAATTTATGCTGTGAGTGTCATCCACACAAATTGCCGAACCTAATATTCAGACATGAGCTTATTTTTTTGTTGGCTTGGAACTGAATTCAGTAACGAGTAAACCATGATTAATCTCGCTTAAGTACTTTAATCAGTTTCAGGTTTTCTTCATTTCCATTGTTAACCTATTTGTTTTTCCCCCTGTATCTGTTTATTTGTTTTTTACTTAATTATTTTCCCCTCTGTTCTGTGTTCAGTTTGTTGTTGGTGAGGATGGGTCTTGGGGTCTCTTGTATGAACATGCGACAGCTGAAGGTCCACCTATAGCCACGTTGTTGGATCATGTACTAGATTACTGGTATTTACAAACCTAATAATCATGCCTTAAGGCAAACTCTTCTGTGCATTTCTAATCTCCGCATTGTTTTGTCTGGCAGCATCTCACTAGCCAAATGTTTTTGTTTAATGGTGTCGCTCCTACAATGTTTTTGATGAATCCTTGTCTGTTGGAGGTTTGTGAGGAGAGGTGCACATGCACAGACTCTTGGCTAGTGAGATGCTGGCCTAAAAAGAGTGTAGTGTGGTAACAGTGATTGGCCATGTTTTTCTCTGTTAGTAAGAAACCGGACCGAATGCGAGCTCCTTTGATTCCTCTGCCCATGCCCAAGAAACTCTACTTCTACATCAATTCTGAGATCAAATGGGATCTAGAGATGGCCAAGCAGAACCTGGATATGTGAGTTCAAATGCCACTGTCACTGTTTTGGGCTCTTTTGGTTGGTTTTGAGGTCAGACACACCACTGCAATCTGGTTTAGCTGCAGAGGCTTAGCTGTGCTAGCTGGGGGGTTGGCCAAATGTAGCATTGCAGTAGTCCAGTCTTGAGCTCACAGGAGCTTGGACCAGTAGCTGTCAGTCTAAATTTACTAAAGTTATGATAGGATTATCGCAATACAGTACTTAACGTCTCCTAGTAGTATTGTGGTACCACTCATATTGCTATCGCAGGGCTATTCTGTTGCATTTACAGTTTACAGCAGTGTTGCCAACTTTACTTCATCTAGTTTGTGAGACTTGCCAGTACGGCCCCATGAGCGCGAGGTCCTCCTTGTCTAGTCCCATTTACACTTTCTGCATCTTCTCTGTTTTCTCTGTTTTCAATATGTGCTAGTATAATGTTTTTGCTCCATGTACATCTGCGTTAGATGGATGTTTCTGGACATTATGGCACTCGCATCAAGTTAACAGTTCATGTTTGAAAAACACACAGCACTGTGTTAGGTTCTTCCAATGTGTCAGAAAAACCAAAAACGTTGGATCCAGTCTCTTTACCAGATCCCGTCAGAAGACATCTGCTTTTTCTGGTATCCCAATGCAGTTAACAGAGAAAACCGATATTAAATGGCATAATTTAAGTACAACACAGATGTAGCCTATGTTTGGTCTGTTTCATGGCGCACACACATTAGCTTGCTATTAACCCACATGAAAAAAATACTATAGTAATTTATAGTAAATACTATAGTGTTTTTGAGCCATGCTATAGTAAAGTACTTGAATAATTTGTTGTGGTAATTCTATAGTTGCTGCTGAGGTAATATAACAACTATAGTAATATAAACAAATTACTTTACCCAATACTTAGGGCTGTCAACATTTTTTTCGAATTTTAGGTCTGCGTCAGCCGTCAGGCAGCCTTATCAGTGGCGCACGAAATGCGACGACAATGTAAGTGTCATTGCATTTTAATGCTTTTGTTAATCTATCCAGTTGAACCCACTAGATGCGGTGCTGCTATGTTGTTCATTCAATATATTGCAGAAAACGAGAGCATCAGTGTGGCGAAGATGTTGTTTACGGCGAAACCTTAACTTCCAGCGCTTTGGAAAAGATTTTGTCAAACTGCTCAAGCTGAGTCCAAACTCCTTCATCCAGGTGGCGATTCAGCTGGCCTACTACCGGTGAGGCTTGTAGAAAACGCTCTGGCATCATCCAGAAACGACAGATGATAAAAGTGAATTTTCTGCCACCAGATAGGCTCCAAACACCGAAATTGGTTTATGAAATGTCACATTCATAAGCAACGCTGATCATTAAATGTGTGTGTGTGTGTTTGTTGGCATGTGTTTTAGAGAGAAGCCAAGGTGCAGCTGCTGAGAGAGGCTGTTGATGCGTACAGCATCCTCACAGAGCAGGTGAGTAACATGGACACTTCTGACTCTCTGCCCAGATCCGTATTTATGTTGACTGCATAATGAGTGTCATTTTTGATCAGTCGCTGATGGGGCAGGGTATAGACCGCCACTTGCTGGGTCTTAAACTTCAAGCCATCGAGGAGGGACTGAGCGTGCCCCGAATCTTCATGGACACGGCCTATGGACTTGCCACTCACTGGAAACTCCGAACAGGACAGGTAACTTTGTTACATTCAAACAAAAGCTGTCTTAAAGGGGTCAAGAACGGAGAAACAAAAATTCCCTTGATCTTTTGCCATTGTACTATAAAACATCCTGTAAGTGTCAGAACTCAAAACTTTCTTGTTAGTCTAAAAAGCTTATATTGAAGGCAGTCTGCCAAAAAGACAGCTTGTGGAATGTTCTACTCTGTAATGTAATAGTGTGGATAAGCCGTCTGTTAAACAGATCGTTTGATATGAGTACTTATGCGTTTTTGACCGAAATCACAGCATCTGTGAGGAATGTAGGCTGTCAATCATACACAGCTATTAGCCAATCACAGCAGTGGCATTTACTTCAGAGTCTACAATCCTCCACGCCTATTCAAACAGAGCGTTCTGATGAGGGGTTAAAAACAGGACATAACACACCTTATTATTTCTAAATGATGTTTTATGATGTAAAAATCTTGATAACATTAAGTAGACCTCAGATTAGGGATGTGCAACAGCCATCGAGACCGAGTACTCGAGTACTCTGCCGTGATAGTGACGATCGATCATGAAAACGATGATCGTGGAATTGTTTTTTCCTGATTATTCCTGATTGGTTATAGCAGCGCTTTGGGCGGCACCCTGAGCTCTGATTGTTTAGCTGGCCACAGCATGGGTCAAAAGACGTCAGAAGAGAGAGAAGCATGGCTTCGATGTCACGTAGTGATGTCTGGGTTAGCTTTACATATCTGATTAATCTAATATAGGATGTGTTGGGATAGTAACATTTATTAACTTGCTGAATGTGCTGCATATTACCAGAGTTTTGTTTCATGCTCAAATGCAATGCCCGATATTGACTGCGTTATTTGAGATGGTCATATTACTTTTACATGTTTCTTTTTTAAAAATACTGATGTATTAATGTACTAATACTGATGTACTGAGCAGTGCCTTTTTCGTCATATTTGTTCAACAGTAGGCATACTTCAATTAAAATTGTTTTCGTACCTCGTATGGCTTAGAAAACGCACAGGCGATTTCAGGAATTACTTGATAATGTAGATGAAAATATAGCACAAATCTGCCATAAACAGCATTATAATGAGAACTTTATAGAATGTGAAATCTAGTAAATTCTGTCTGCTTTCCTTGCCTGTGTTTCAGCGTGCTATGTTATGCTCTCTCTCGCTCTCTCTCTCTCTCTCACTATAGAACATAATTTAAAGTTCAATGGCATTTGCATCCTTTTGTGCGTCTATGTTATGTATCTAAGTTATCTGATTAATATCATAGGAAGCATCATAGAACGGGTTTCAGTTTATTGGCATAAAGTCACTCAGCTTCACCTCAGGCAGCTATTCTCTTTTTTTAATAACATTGCTGCATCATAATCATAATCTAACAGTGTTCTAATCATGTGTTCATGTTTTCATAGACAGGTTTTCATGTCATATTTTTAACATTCATTTTCATAACAGTCTTCAGATATTTTCATTATCTCCATTACGGCCATGCCAGTACTCGATTACTCATTTTTGAAACCTATCGATGATCAAAATGAGAAATTGCCAAAAATACCTATCCCTACCTCAGAGAACAGTACAACATAAAACACAGAGGCAGTTCATGACCCCTTTAAGTTATTCTCAGATCATAACCATTTCGGCATGAATGTTAGCACCAAAATTATATAATAACAGTGCAAACATTTCATTCTTCTGGTTTGAAAGCCAAAACTGAAGGAACGTCACAGAATAGAAGATGCTTGGGAGTTGTAGGGTTCATGTCTCTTCACTTAGGGATGTAACGATATGAATATTGTGATATCTCGATAGCAAAAACTGTCTCGATATTATCGTGGTCAAATGACGATATGAAACGATAGAAAAAGTGTAGTTTTTAAAATATATTTAAACTTCTTGTTCTAACGTAAAAGGTCTTTAAAGTTGTGTTTTGGGCCATTATGTTCTGGCACAGTATCTGTCAAACGAACTGAAACTGAAAGCACAGTATGGCTTCATCCCTTCATCAAGTCTGTTTTCGTTGTGTGTTTTAAAGCGAAGCTGCACTTCGTTCAGACGATCAGCTCGTGATCTGGTGTCAGAACGGCTCGTTCACACTGAATGAATGCAGTCAACTTGTTTATTGCACTGCTGTGAGTTTAGCGTGCGTTTCAGAACACAACAGACACCAGTTAGGCTTTATTTTCACGGCAGATGATTACAGCGTTTCACTAGATTTGTAGTGAGACGCGTTTCATATTTGTTCAACAGTAGGCATACTTCAATTAAAATTGTTTTCGTACCTCGTATGGCTTAGAAAACGCACAGGCGATTTCAGGAATCACTTGATAATGTAGATGAAAATATAGCACAAATCTGCCATAAACAGCATTATAATGAGAACTTTATAGAATGTGAAATCTAGTAAATTCTGTCTGCTTTCCTTGCCTGTGTTTCAGCGTGCTATGTTATGCTCTCTCTCGCTCTCTCTCTCTCTCTCACTATAGAACGTAATTTAAAGTTCAATGGCATTTGCATCCTTTTGTGCGTCTATGTTATGTATCTAAGTTATCTGATTAATATCATAGGAAGTGTCATAGAACGGGCTTCAGGTTATTGGCATAAAGTCACTCAGCTTCACCTCAGGCAGCTATTCTCTTTTTTTAATAACATTGCTGCATCATAATCATAATCTAACAGTGTTCTAATCATGTGTTCATGTTTTCATAGACAGGTTTTCATGTCATATTTTTAACATTCATTTTCATAACAGTCTTCAGATATTTTCATTATCTCCATTACGGCCATGCCAGTACTCGATTACTCATTTTTGAAACCTATCGATGATCAAAATGAGAAATTGCCAAAAATACCTATCCCTACCTCAGAGAACAGTACAACATAAAACACAGAGGCAGTTCATGACCCCTTTAAGTTATTCTCAGATCATAACCATTTCGGCATGAATGTTAGCACCAAAATTATATAATAACAGTGCAAACATTTCATTCTTCTGGTTTGAAAGCCAAAACTGAAGGAACGTCACAGAATAGAAGATGCTTGGGAGTTGTAGGGTTCATGTCTCTTCACTTAGGGATGTAACGATATGAATATTGTGATATCTCGATAGCAAAAACTGTCTCGATATTATCGTGGTCAAATGACGATATGAAACGATAGAAAAAGTGTAGTTTTTAAAATATATTTAAACTTCTTGTTCTAACGTAAAAGGTCTTTAAAGTTGTGTTTTGGGCCATTATGTTCTGGCACAGTATCTGTCAAACGAACTGAAACTGAAAGCACAGTATGGCTTCATCCCTTCATCAAGTCTGTTTTCGTTGTGTGTTTTAAAGCGAAGCTGCACTTCGTTCAGACGATCAGCTCGTGATCTGGTGTCAGAACGGCTCGTTCACACTGAATGAATGCAGTCAACTTGTTTATTGCACTGCTGTGAGTTTAGCGTGCGTTTCAGAACACAACAGACACCAGTTAGGCTTTATTTTCACGGCAGATGATTACAGCGTTTCACTAGATTTGTAGTGAGACGCGTTTTTGTTTTTGTAAGCCTGTTTTCACTGAAGCTGGAGTTTTCCTTCAAAATAAAAGCTCTACTGCCGTTTCCGTCAAAATAAAAGCTTAAAAGTGCAGTATGAATTGCTGACAGCTAGCGGTTTAAATGCAGTCCAAATTCAAAATATCTCTTTCAAGTGTAGAAATTAGGAAAGAAGTATTGTAATTTCCCTACTGTAGTGTAAAGCAAAAATAATATACCTATGAAATATTAATTTTCATTTATTTTACAGTGCAATTGTTTTGCAATATATGGCTATTACCGTCGTTGTTATTATTATTATTATTATTATATTCTAATTTGTTTGGCTTATTAAAACACCAGTGTTCATGTAATTTAGACTGAGACAGTATATCACAAATAAAAAGAGGGTTGAGTCCCCTTTAAGACAAATTAAAAAAAATATATATACACATATATACACTGAACAAAATTATAAACGCAACACTTTTGTTTGGACATTTTCACTTTGGGGTGTACTCACTTTTGTGGCCAGTGGTTTAGACATTAATGGCTGTGTGTTGAGTTATTTTGAGGGGACAGCAAATTTACACTGTTATACAAGCTGTACACTCACTACTTTACATTGTAGCAAAGTGTCATTTCTTCAGTGTTGTCACATGAAAAGATATAATAAAATATTTACAAAAATGTGAGGGGTGTACTCACTTCTGTGAGATACTGTATGTATGTATATATGTATATGTGTGTGTATATTTGTGTGTGTGTATATATATGTATATATAAGACAAATGAAGAATTGGGGGGGGGTATTTTGTACATTTTAAAGTTTAATTATTCTATTTAATGCACTTTGAGCTTTCAAAATCAACAGCTCCAACACATGTTATTAACTAAGAAAACTTAAGTCAGAAAGTGAATTGACTTGTTGTACCTGACCTTTAAATACCATATCATGGACTTCATATCGTTTTTGATATCGTTACATCCCTCCTCTTAATTCATCCCCATCTTGGGTGCATTGCAGGTCTGTTGTGTTGTGGCTTGTTACCCTCTTCTCAGCATAGACTGTAAAAATGACAAATGAAGCCAAACTATCCCAGATATGGCAGCTGTCATCTGGCGTGGATGATGTTATTTGAAGCCAGAGTCTGCAAAGTAGTAAACCTGAAGTGGAGCCGTGGCATCAAGGTCTTATTAGATAAATGAACACTTCAACATACATCAGTGTGATGAGAACTACCTAAAATGACAGAAACCATATTTGGGAAAAATTTATTCATTCATAAAATGTCTAAAAAAACTATTCATTCATTCATTCATTCACTCATTCATTCACTCATTTATTCGCTCATTCATTCATTCACTCACTCATTCACTCACTCATATATTCATACATACTTTTGCTCAGGTCCCATTCGTTTACATGGAGAGGGTGAGGTGTTTGACCTATACTGCAGCCAGTATTGTTTTGGCTTCACTTTTCAGCATATGTGCGTCACATTTGCTTCCCACCCTCGGCCTTTCCAAAGCGTTCCACGCCCATTTAAATTGTTCAGTTTACACAGCAGGCCTAAACGTTGAGAAGATCATAAAGTTAAAAGCACTTGCATGTTGCATCTTCCTCACAGGTGCCCGCCAACACAGACAGTGTGATGTGTTTTGGACCGCTGGTTCCTGACGGCTATGCAGTCTGTTACAATCCACAGCAGGATCACGTCCATTTCTCCATCACTGCCTTCAACTGCTGTGAGGAAACCAACGCGGAGAAGCTGGCTCTCACATTGGAACGATCGCTTCATGATCTCCAGGAGTTATTTCAGCCCACAGTATAGCACCGTCTAGACATTCAGAAGTGGTTTTAACACTCTACTCCAGCATTGCGGCAGCTTCAGGAACACAGCCTTTAATATGTGGTGAACAGAATGTACTCCTGGAAGTGCCAGGCTTTGTTAAATGAATGGTCTTCATGGAAGCTTGCATGAAGTACAGCGCATTTGAACACCTGAGATGCAGATGTATGATGGACCATTTGCTAATAAGAAATACATCTCTATTTTTGGTATTTTAAGAACAGCAATGAAAGCTTAAACCAGTAATCTAATGTAATACCAAACTTAAAGGCGTTTAAAATATGAAATTATCTCATTTTGTGCATTTGGGTCCCTCTACAGCATGCATGAGTTTCAAATAAGTCTGATTTTGTGTGACCTGTTACATACCAGCAGTTTGACTTGATGTACACTTCTTCCTCATTAAATGTGGGCTTTGTCAGGAAGTGACCAAATATTTAACTCACACATTTATATATTTGTGTGAAATCACTGATTGTGTTACAAAATCAGTTATTGTTACTATTTAAATATATGGGAGATGTCTGTTGCTCATTATGTCCTGGAAAAAAAAAAAGTTTGTTTTCTGGTAATAAATTGAGTACAGTGGTAACAAATGGGTTTTCTTGTAGAAACCTTTGCCAGAGTTCTCCAAATGTCCCTCATTCTGTTTGACTATATAAAGCAGTTAGGTTGTTTTGTTCTCAAGAAAGTTGCAAACCATTTCATATGGAAGCAATTACCACTTTCTCACGAGCTATATCTTCTGTCCATAATCATGGCTCTAACCATAACCAAATACAATTATTAAACCCTTTCGATTATAAATGTTGTGCTAACTGGTTTTGGTTCAGTATTAATGTTGAAGTGCTACCTACTGCAGTATAGTATAGTCTTCCACATAATTAGCTTTTTTAGCTTTCGCTCGCTCACTGCTGGCTGGAAATGTGCAAATATACATTTCTCACAGTGAACGTTCTGCACCAATTGCTGTACAAAATCAGGGAGGACAAGGAGTAAGTGCTGCTAGCTTTGCCGAAATGGTTTCCGGACCTGTTACTGATGCTGTCAGGTCCTGCATGGCCTACTGCGTCGAGGAAAGCCCTAGTTTTGAGTGTCCTGGCATGCAGAGCTGGGTAGATTACTTGTAATCCGAAACTGTAATTTGTTGTTATGCCCATTTTTAACCCCCTGCCAAATGATTACCCCCCTCATTGAAATCACTACCTGATTGCCTAATCCTAACCTCTCCCCCACTCCTATCCCTAAACCTACGTTACTAGGGGGGTAATAATCTGGCGGGGGTCAGAACTCGGCACAACACCGTTACTGATTCCAAATTACATGACAAACATTGTAGTTAGTAACGTAATCCATTACAGTACACATTTCAGGTAATATAATCAAACTACTTTCGGACTACTTTTAGATTACTTTAGACATAACTTGTTTATCGCTTTGATTTAAATTGGACAATCTTGCCATATTGATATGATACAAAGTGTAAGAAAACATCCCATTTGTTGTAATTAACAATATTCAGTGCATTAAACATTACATTATGTGAAGGTTTCCCAAAGGTTTGTAAAAGTACTGCAGGGGGGTTGTGAGTTTAATGAAAAGCTAATAATTAAATTATAAAAAATTAAAATAACATTTTATTTGTTTACCTGCTTGTCATGTGACCATTAACCAACATCAGAGAACCATGAACATGCATACGGAGGAATATTCCTCCATACATGCAAATGTGATAATTATTCAAATATTTTTTTTGAAGATTTCATGGGAATCCAAGTAAATATATTAGGTGAAAGAGTTTCAGATTACCAAAAAGTTTGGAAATGCCTGCATTACGTGTAAATAAATAACATTAATTTGTGGATTTTAAAGTGTTTGAAAGTCTAACGACATAGTAATGGATTGTTAAATGAATGATAATTCAAATAAACATTAATGTGTTCATCAGTAGTTGATGCAGTGTTGAAATACTTCTTAAATCTGAAATGATTTTTGTAAATCCGTTGGTCAAATGCTGTGCAAATCCTGACTAATGACTATTGTGTGAATGTTCATAGTACTGGAAGACTTTTTAAGAGTATTTAAGCTGTAGGCTATTTTAGAAAGAAACATTTAAAAGATGAAAAAGAGGAATTAGGGAGAATCAATACATTCTGAATAATTTATTGTTATTGTGTGAATAATATGTAGGCATGTAATCAAATAAATTAATAACTGTAGTCTGATTACAAGTATTTTAAAATGTAATTTAATCTAATTACAAGCACTTAATTTGTGGAATCTGATTATGTAATGCAGATCACATGTGATCAGTTACTCCCAGCTCTCCCCTAGAGCCACGTCAGCCCCCTTAAAAGTGCTCTCGCTTAACATGGCACTTTAGCTCACGCTCTTGATAACTGAGTACAACTCCAATAACAGAAAAGTTGGGATGTTTTAAATGTAAATGCAATTAAATCAAGAATCTGTGATATGTTAATTCTCTAACTTTTATTTAATTGACTAAAGTACAAAGAAAATATGTCCAATGTTTTCACTGGCCACCTTCATTTTATTTTGTAAATATAAACAAATTTAGATTTTGATGAGTGCAACAGGAACAAACACACTCCTCACGCGTCTGTTCACAAATAAACTGTGCGCTCTTGTTAATGTTTAGGATATTTTAGCAAATAATTTGCTTTGCTTAATAATAAAATCTACAGTGCATTAATAGATACAGTCTAAATTGTCTAATCAATCTCTTGATTTTGTTGACATTTTTTGCTCCTCCTGTGGTAAACATCTTAGAAATCATACTAAGTGAAGTTTTTTTTTTTTTTTTTAGGAAAAATGCAGAAAGTCTAGTGTGAGGGGTAGGGTAAGGGGATAGAAATACAGTCGGTACAGTATATAAACCTGTATGTGAATGTCCCCATAAAACATGAAAACCCAATGTGTGTGTGTGTGTGTGTGTATGTAATTCAGATTTTTAAATGGCAGAGCTGGGTAGATTACTTACAAATTATAGTCTGTTACTGATTACAGATTACATGATGAAAACTGTAGCTAGTAACATAGGTTACTCATTTTAGACAATATAATCTGACTAGACTTGCATAATAACTTGCATAATTATTTTGTTTCATACATGGTCCAATCGCTTGAGAGGTGTCCACCTCAAATTCAGAAGCATGGTTTGCAAATGTATTTACATGACACTTGTGAATATAGTCAAAGCTAAATGTTATGACAACTGGGCAAGGATATGACGTAGCGAACGCTTGTGTTGATGTTCTAACCGGAAGCAACACAAACAGATGCATATCGGTCTAAATATGATAGAAGGAGCCGAGCGCACAGCGAAACTCACATACAGGAGCGCCCTTTGGATTACTTCTGACCGTATTGTTTTGATTTTATTGTAAACATTTTTATCTAAATAAGACGTGGTTTTGTTTGATTGTTATTGTTATGATGAAGGGTGCGTGTGTGTGGTCGCTGGTCGCGGTGTGTGTGTTGTGTGTGTGTGTCGCGTATAAACCGGTGATCATCATTCATGGGCTCTTCGACACCTCTGCGGATTTTATCAACCTTCACCGATTCATCAACCTGGTAAACCATTCATCTGATAATATTATTATGTGCTTGCTATTGTTACTCTGTGTCACCAAGAGTATCAAATCTGTACGTTTGCACAGGGTCAATATACAGACAATAACTCCACAATAGAGACGATTATTAAGGACAAAACGCCTCGTCCTTACCATGGTACATACACTGAGAGTATAAAATGGTGTAACCGTCGTTTTTATAGTCTACCTAAAATTCTGTCCATTTGTTTAAGGTTGTTATTAATTAATTCTTGTATTTTTGTATTGTTCTTTTTGTGTTTTAGTTTTACTGTAGCGCTTTTTTTAAGAAAAGTGCATTACAAATAAAATGCATTATTATTATTATTATTATCAAAAGAATAATTGGCATATTAAACGTACAATACATGAAACTCCAAGATATGCTAACGCATATGTGGTTTTTCAATTATAAAAAATAAAAATGCTGTAGGTCTATTTATTATCTTCAATTATTTAAAAAAAGATTATTTACTGAAATAAAATAATATAATATACATCATTTATTGCTATATAAATATTTTTGTTGTAGCTCCTCATGACTTAAGATGGGAATAACATGTAACATTATTCAAAGAAATACACAGCATGCTGCATGCGTTTGTTACAGAGCACAGTTTGTTGTCTGTTGATCTGTAACTGATGTGTGTGTGTGTGTTGTCTGTTGATCTGTAACTGATGTGTGTGTGTGTGTTGTCTGTTGATCTGTAACTGATGTGTGTCTGTTGTGTGTGTGTGTGTTATCTGGTGATCTGTAACTGATGCGTGTGTGTTGTGTGTTTTGTCTGGTGATCTGTAACTGATGTGTGTGTGT